AAAGTTAATAAATCTGGATTAATCACGAATGAAAAGGCTGTGAAACACACAGACCTGCCTGTTAGTTACAGCAATATACAGTATAACAAAAGTTTTGATCATACTGTGATGAATGTGGCTCTCTCTCTATTTGTCACAATTACTTGTGATTAATCCACAGCTAAGCTGTGATTCATCAGACTAAACAATTGTACCATTAGACAGCCTGGTATTATTATTAAATTAAACTGGAAACAATTTATTGATGAGACATAAATAAAACATTTCTGATTTGACTTTAAAACATTTTATAAAAACAATGTAAGCTAAATGAATCAGCAGCTTCAGTCCTTCCACTGCACCCCCCCGTACAGCCCCGTCCCTCAGAATGAAGCGGGGACATGACAGTGCGACTGCAGCGGAACAGAACTCAATAACAGGTCTGTGGCTGCATCACGGCGACAAAGACGAGGTGTCAAGACTGTAAATTCACTGTAACACTGAGAGACAGTGATGTCGTCGGATGGGTTTGTGTCGTCGGGTCTCGTGGTTCTCATGTGTAAAATGTGAAAAAGAATCTGTGACTATTATCTGTTTCAACACATCATGAACAAAGTATCTGATTGAAAACTCAAATCTGGTTCATGAGCAGAGCATCACCTCAGAGTCGAGAAGGAGAAAGAAAAGAGTTCTCAGAATTAACGACCAGTTCATGGAACAACTGCAACAGAAGGGAACTGGTACGTGGGAGTTACAACTGTCGAAGAAGGAGATCTCACTGTGAGCGTACTGTGTTTTCCCTTCAGTCTGAGTGTGTGTGTGTGCGTGTGTGAGTGTGTGTGTGTGAGTCATACATTCAATACATCAGTGAGTGATTTAGGGTTGTGTCGTGAAGCTCAATGCTTTTAATCATCTTGAGAGGAAGGTAGATAGTCATGTGAGATTAGTCGATGACTGAAGACGTGCACAGTCGTGCACATCTACACACACACACACACACTGCCTAAAGTTATCCCTTAAACACACATAGGATAATATAAACTATAAATGGATTATAAATGGTAGGACCGCATTTCCACGTTTTTCCTACTTGAATTCATTTGACTTGATTTAAATTCAGCATAATAACTAATATTGATTCAAGATGTTATCAGTCATCGCTCTTCAGCAAAATTATTTTAAAGTGTGCAAAAATCTAATCTTATTAAGAAAAATAAATGAAACAAGTTAAAAAAGTTAAAAAATATATTTTTCCAACTTATTTATTCCGTTTCACTTCCAGCGTCTTGTTAAATTACACTGAACTTTCAACATGTGTTAGGGTGTCATGTTAATTCATGATGATGCCAAACGACTTCACCTTTAAAGTTCACTAATTCACACGGACTTTTCAATAGTGGCAAACAATATCCAGCATGTCGTTGTGAAGACGGACAGTAGAAAATAAAAAAAGTCATTTCAGTACAAAATGGACTTGTGTTGTTGTGCAGCTCTGAGATACTGGACTGTTCACTCCCTTAAGCACGGCACGGCCACATTATACTCTTTAAAATAGGCCATTTGGATGGGAAATTAATCCGAGCAGGAGGGGGATATTGAGCTTTACATTCACTAAAACCCCACTATGTGTGCTGCAGCCTGGACTGATCATTCTGCAGCGTTAGCTCTCTGCAGCAATCACATTATAAAGGTGTTCAGAGCGAGACAGGCCGCTCGGATAAGCATAAATCTACATAACAGCGACTTTTTTTCCCCTCTCGCTTTCAATAAAGAAAAATGTATCATAACTGCAATATGCTCCAACGTGCAGTCCTACCATTAAAGTGTCACCTCTCCAAATCCAATCAGATTACAAAGTCACTCTCCATGAAACCCAGCACTTACATTAAATGGCTGGAATCTACAGATGTGTGTTGAAGCCGTACTGACTCTATGAACGTCCTTTTACCTGACATAAATCTGCACCGAGCGCCGCTGCTGCATGTGCTGAGCGTTTGACAAAAGGAGGAGGAGGAGTGAAGCTGCTAATCGGGATAATAGAGATACTGATGAGGGAGGCCACGACGTTTGGCTTCTCCCCTCACCTGCTCACTGGATCCCTGCTGGACGAGGCAGGGGGAGACAATCTGTCATCCACCGAACTCCTCTTATCTTTCCTCGCCGCCTCCTCCTACTGCTTGCCTCCTCTTCCTCATTACACTCCCTCTGTGTCTCATTAACTGATTGCAGTCTCGTATTTTTATCAGCGAGTCCGAACCTTGTTCCTATGAACGACTGTATTAAGCTGAAGCCACGAGCAGTGTGAAATCAATTTTTTTTAATATAAAACATTGCTCTGTAAAATCACTTCTGCTCTTAGTATTGTTTTAGTTAATCAGTATGAAGCCGCAGCCATTGTCTAATTATAACCCACAAAGCAAAACGAATCACAGTAGAAATGGCGCTGTGGTAATTATGAACGTTCATATTAAGCCTTTTTTTTCCCCCAATAATTCCTGAAGTAATTTCTACAAACACTATTTTATCAGCTAAAGTTTGACATTAGTGGGTTTTTTTCTTATCTCCTTCTGAACCATATTTCTCCTCTTATTTGAACATAAAATTAAATGAGAAATGAGGATTTCTCATTAGCGCTGTGGCTTCGCTTTCACTTTTTTTTGTCCTGAACCAGTGGGTTAAGTTATGCATCACAGCAGCCTGCGGGGAAACGGCCTGCTGCCTGCTAATTCAAAACGTTTGTCTCCCGTGAAGCTGACAATATTGGCCAGCACAGTACACTTCCGAGGTAATTGGGGTCTTTAGTCTGCAAACCAGCAGTCGCTCTTTCAACGGCAGAAGTCACAAAGAGTAATCAGACACAAAGGGGATCAAATCACTACTTTCTTCTTCTTTCTTTTTTCCCACCATTCGAATTGTGTAGACCTGACATGGCTTTTGTTAATATCTGGAGCCGACGAGACTGCACTCATTTTCAGGACAATTTAAAATGGACTTTTCTAACCAGTCCTGTGTCTGGCAGCGGTAAAGCAGAGTCACACTTTTACTTTATTTTTCTGCCAATGAGGAGAGCCTCTCCATGTGAAGGATCAACTGAGGCCACGTATCGGTCCACCTATGTACACAGGTGCACTTCACTTCCCACTTTAGCTCTGATGTTTATCTATGAGGTGTCCATGTAGGAGATTCAGAGGGTACTCAAGGACTAGCATGAATAAACTTCAAGTCTCCTTCAGGCTGATTAAGTACTTACACTGTGGTAACGTGTATGATCTATGTAGTGACGAGTGGAAAGATGTTCACGAACGGCAGAAGCTCTGCGTCCAGCCTTAATGTTAAACGTGTTCATGGACGCACCGATGCTCAAAGTGTGACCTGGGCCAGAGCCTGGTGCTGCTATTTGTTCCATCATTTGACTTGTCAAACAAATTGCATAATGGAGCTGTGTGTGTGTGTGTGTTTTCCATTGTCTCTACTCAGAACATGTAAATTAGGGCCACATACATATTAGTAACGACTGACAGGAGTCACTGTGTCAGAGGGCCTGCTCTGCGTTAGTGTGAGCATGTTAAGCTAACGAGCCGAATGGTCTGAGAGAGTTTTCAACATGGATGAACAGAGAAATAGAGCAAAGGTTTTCTACTGCTCTGTGCTCTGTGGTGTTCCTCTAACCTCAGTGTGTCGTGATAGTACTCGGAACTGCTGTGGTGTAATCCTACTGTACTTTAGTGTAATTATACTGAATGATGATAGTAGTAAATCACACTGTGTAGTGATAATACACTCTATAAACGTCTAGTGTAGGGATCTGAAGTTTTTACTCCTTGGTACACTCCACTGTGACCTAGTGTGAGGATAAACTATAATCTATATAATCTACAGTATATATATAACTGAATCAGTGAATTCACAGTATTCTATTAATTTAATCTAAAAACTAAACTACTATTAAATTGTGCAGTTTAAATTGAATCTACTGCAGTACTTCACTCAACAGTGAAGTCATGTTTAAATCAGCCGCAGTTTTTCATGCAGTAATACTGTCACTGTATTATAATGTTGTCTTTCTATACTACACTCTCAGTGTAATGTTACTACGCTATACTCAATTTAGGAGTAATATACTAAGGTACCTTATTCTCCACTACAGTGTCGATTAAGTTTGAAATATTTATTGAATAAAAGTCTTGTTTTCCTACAGTAGAGTCGGTAAACTCTACACTGTAACGTAAGTAAATACTACATTCTTCTGCACTGCATTTATCTCTACTGTACACCGCTGCAGCTGATGAAAGCCCCCTCTACGTTAACCTTATGAATTTTAATGCATACTACTGCATTGCAACTGTACATCCTTTTAAATATAAATAAGCTACACCTAAAGTGATGTACATGGGTCGTACACAGCGTACTAAACTCTACTCAGTAGGTACTCAACTTTACTACACTGTAGTATAGTACTACCGCTGGGTGGTGGTGGATGAAAATGTCGATACTCTACTGTACTGCATGTTTTCTTTGGCCTACTTTGCTGTAGATGAATTACTCAGAGTTCAATATTTACTGGATCAGACACAGTCTGTGGTGAGAAAACAAGAACAACATGTTGGAGTTCAGAGCTGAATGACAGGACTGAAGAGAAAAATGAAGAGAAATGTGCTCAATTAGCTAATCTAGCAATGCTATGCTAATGGCTAAGATGATGGCGTTGGAGGTCAAAACAGTTGGTGTGAAGGCCTGAGTGTACTGTCGTCAACCTGCTGTACTACAGTGTGTACTCCTCTGCAGTAAAAGTGCTCCTTGCACTACGGGATCCTTCGGCATAAAACAATCACAAAACAGGTTAAAGTGAGTCCGACATTTTCCTGTTGATCCTAATCAACAAGCGGAAAATGCCCCATCATTATTACACGGGGGGTTAAGAAACAGAAAATAACGGTCAGGGGGGAAAAGAAAAAAAAAAACAAAAAACAAAAGGGAAAAGAAGAAAGGGGAAAAAAAGGGAAAAAAGAAAAGGAAAGTACCTTTCTTGTGAGTAGCCTCATTTTTGGAGCCTTTGGGGTCTAATAAAAAAAAGATCAGAATTAAACACAGCAATATTCTAACAACAGGTCACCATCTATATGTTGTTTGTCCTCAATGGAAAACAACCACTTATTTGTCTATAGTCAAGGAGCGAGCAAGACAGCAAGGCCCGGTTTGTCTAAGGTGTGGTCGCACTGCTGCCAACACTCAGCGGGAGGGGTGGCAGTGAGGTCCACTTAGGAATAGCGAGGTAAAGGGGTAAAGGGTGGGGTGGGGGGCAACATACTTTAAAGGCAATAGCAGGAAGGAGGGATGCATGAGTTTGTGGAGGAACAATCTACTGCCATACTGCAGCGGGCGGGCAGGAGAGGAGAGGCGATGCACTAAAGATGAAGAGGGTTGCAATGCAGTTCTGTCAAGAGGAGCTGAAGTACGTTCTAGCAAAATGCACTAGAGGAGATGCAAGAGGCCAGAAACAGAGAGAGAGAGAGAGAGAGAGAGAGAGAGAGAGTAGAAGAGCAGGGAGAATGTAAAGACTACATGTCAAACTGGCTTCCTTTATATTTTACAGCCTCATTTGGCATTTCGAAAAAAAGAAATTGCAGATTTTTATTACTTTTTGGGGGGCAACAGGTTACAAAAAGACTATTATGACTGTCTTAGACAAAGATAGATCCTGTTTTCACCCTCATCCTTTGAACACTGAGCTACAAGTTGTTCATCATTCAAGTTCTCCCCCCACAAAAGGGAGACACCCTCTCTGGATGGTACAATATCAGAACTCGTTTGTACAAATGTACTTTTCATCTTAGGTTCACACATCCATTCAAGCATCAAGTCATACACTGGACTCTAACTGTCTCAGGTAGCTACCGTATGATCCAGCAGACGGCGCTCTACACACAGCCTAAATGATAGATATTATTATCAGTCAAAGAAATCAGAGATCAGATAAGATGTTTTACACAATCCCAAATGTGCCATGTTTTCCCCTCTACAGTCCGAACTGTAATGACTCTGTGCTTCTGTAAGTGGAGAATGGACATCACACACTTCAGCACAATCTATTGCCATACTGCAGTGGACGAGGCTGTGAGGAGAGGCAATTCACTAAAGACAGAGAGTGTTGCAATGCAGTTCTGTCAATACGAGCTAAAGTACCACGGGCAAAATGCTGCTGACACCTGACCAGAAACTGGTCAATGTTTGCGCTCTGCTGTAATCAGGGGAGATTTGCAGATAAATGGATTTACAATTCACAAATTTTATAATGCTGTAAGAAAATAAACAGGTTGGAACTGGATATGTTGAACAATTCAAACCGTGATAAGGAGACACTTCATGTTTGGCCAGATGTTTAGAAATCAACCTTTGTTTTGTTTAGAATTTTAGACTAAAAAAAAGGAGAATCGGTCTATCTACTAAAACTGCTCATATTGTACCAATACAAAGAGAGACCTTCTTGGGTTGCTATGTAGTTAACTAGCTGAGAGATTATGACTCATTACCAAAACACCAAAACATAGAGACACGATAGTCATCGTGAAAACTGACATATGGCCTCATCATGTGTGGCCCGTAAAACTGTACACACCAATTCTTTCTGTGCTAATGGTAAAATTGAAGGGCTAATACGAGCCGTTCCTCGGCTTTAGCTAAGAACGAATAATTGTTTCGAATCTGAAATGAAGTCCTGCTCCTTTAAATGGCCTCTGGTAATTTTAAACTCATTTGGCTGAAATGAATCCTATCGCAATGACAAAGGATTGCTACTTCCACCCTTCCAAAAATGTAAATCCTAATTGCCTTCTAATGGGCCACATCATTTTCGCCGTCCCACTGAAACTTTAGGCTGTAGAAGGCGTGATATATTAGGCGGAAATGCCAACCCTGTTAAAGTGGAGATATTGGATTTGAAATTGTTTTACTGTGTCAGGGACTTTCCTCGCTGCCCCCCCCCACCGCCCAAAGGAAATTACTGTCTGTGCTACACTGAGTTTCTGAAAATTTGTGGAATTTTATGTTTTAGTCAATATGTGTGGGAAAATATTACTGGGTCTGTTTCATGGCTGCATCCATCAAACCTACCTAAAGTTACTGGTCACTAGTTAACCTGATATTCATTAACAGTTACACGTTTACCAGCAGGATACAGAACTGTTCTTTATTTCCAAGGTCGGGAATCAACAACATGGAAATCTGTTCTGTTTAAAATTCCAGGAGAAAAAAAAAGTCCAACATGAATGTTATGTAACTTCTGGCTGCATTTTTCCTTACTTTCTTGCTAACATTCAAAGATACTAATGAAGAAAAATACACTGACGTGACCTAATGCCAGAGTGTGTTGAAGACTTTAAAACTGCAGACATGCTCCTACATAAAGGTCAAACGGTGCAGGGCTGACTTCTAACCCTCACTCACTTGATGAATTTCACCGTCATGATTACAGCTGTGCCTTTGACAGCGTGTGTCTTTCTTAACAAGTCATTTTCACCAAAAGTAAAGAAATGTCAGGAGCTCTGTCTTGGGTTTGTTCCTTTTCACTTACATACAGGATTCTTCCCCTCATCCTGCCCTTCCACTATTCACGTTTGTTGATGGATGTCCTTTTTTGCCTTCAAACAGCACAGAACTGAGTAAACCGCACCCAACCTCCTTTGCTGTACTTGACAACTGCCAATATGAGGGATGGCGACCATGCCTAGTAGAAGTCCATGAGCGATACTGTAATCTGTCATTGTCACCATTGGCTAACAAAAAAGGAAACAGCTTCTAAGATAGATGGAAAGTAAACGCTGTGACCATGAACTGCTGTAGACAGGTGACTTAAACTCTATAATCTGCCTGAATCCATGAAAGGCAATTTCTCCTCCTGCTCTGTGCACAGCAGACTCCCTCTGTGTCTGGGGTAAGCCAGGGCTTAGCCCCTGTAGCCAGGCAGCCTGTCGAACATCTGTGCACCTAATCCTGCATTAACGCTGCAGCCGCTTTTGTTTTGGGGAGATTTTTGGTAGCAGAGATCTCATAATGTGAGCCAATTACAAACACGGGGCAAAAACAATTACACATTTTCCAGGGGAGATGTAAAAACAACATTAATGCAAAACCTCCTGACACCGTGGTGGAAAACAGAGGCTTTTTTATTGTGAGATGTGATTAATTATTTTGCAGAACTGTAGACCGATGATGTGTCCATCAGTGAACATGGATAAAGCAGGAAATATTGTATTTATGTACCGTTAGCAATGCTGAACTGAACACACATTACTGTGGCTGTCTTCACTCTCACATCTTATGATGTCTTTTTTTTACCGAAAGGCAAAATATTCCACAAATCGCAGTAACATGCACTAGAAACTCGGTGTAATTTTACTGCAGGGAGCAGGGACTAAATGGCGGCTCGTTTTCTGAGTAATAGTTGCATTTAACTGAATGTTGTTTGGTCTGAGATTTAGTGCATTTTACTTCACTGGTGATTTTGAAAAGAATCTCAAGACAACTAAACTTTTTCCCCTGAGACATAAAAAAATATATTTTCTGTCTGTCTCCGAAAAAACAACATCACCGTTTGACATTGTCTCAGTGCTTTCACAACTGTACCAAACACACTGTGTTAACCCTCTCCATCAGCTGTTTTACTGTGGAAACACTGGTCTCTAACCTGTTTTCAACTCATGTCAGTAATTAGGTGTGACGAGTTTCTGTGAGAAAGGACTGAATGGCCTTTTATATAGCGCTAATCCCTTGCTTTTAAACGTATTAACCATGGACCAGTGGACTGTGAAAAGGGGGAAAATGGAGCAATGAAGCCGTCAACTGTTGCTACATATCTAACATTAACCTTGCATTGCCTCAAGCTGAGAGAAAGACATGTCTCTGTCTGTTTATATCTTTTGATTGTGTGAAAAAAAAACCCAACATTTTTAATCAAACTGCTCCTTTAAGACAGAGTCTGCTCATTAGATCACGCACCAATTATCAGTTGGATCATTTCTCTTCTATGTCCTGATACGAACACAGCTTACAGACAACTACTACTGGCCTCATCCTCTTTGGTTTAATTTGTCCTCCTCTGTCCTCTCCTCCCATCAAATCAGCTCCTTGTCAATTCATGTCAGTCTCAAATGTCCTCGTACAATTGGCCGCCTTTAGCCCATTACCCGATTCAGTATTCATCTCCTCAGTGCTGCCCTTGCCGTTCTGCCTCCTGCTAGATGCTGGAGTGCAATCAATATTTTTATCATAACTCCAGGGAGGGTCACCTCTCTAAGATGTCATTAAAACTCCTCGCTCAGAACAATGTATTCCTCTATCAAAAAAAAAATCCTGGCTTGTAAAGGATAGGGTCATTACCCAGAATACTAAAGGCCAGAAGACCTTTCTTTGGTCACTGATGTCAATGATGTCCCCTCCCTCAGGTTGTTTTTCTGCATCCTTGTGGAAAGTCATGTGGGAGTGAGGATTACTGTTAGCTGCTTCTTTATGTCTGCTGTAAATGTAAATGTAGAAAAAATAGCAGGCTTCAGACCCAGAGAGACTTGAACTTTGTTAGCATCAGAATGCTGACAAAAGCTACTGGACAACACCCTGCATTTTTACCATCTGCACCTTGTCTTTATTCTACAGTCATGGTCGAAGCCCTGTGGGTATTGAAGTCATTTACTGTCTTCTTTTTTCCTTCACTTTTTCTTTTGTCCTGCCGTCCCTCACCCATTAATTTTTTTTACCCTGCAGCCTCTCCTCCACCTAACACTCATTACCTTATGCCTATTATCCCATTAAGTAGCCATTAGACAATTGCTGATAACATCAAACGAACGTCAAGCTCCTACAAATAATAACTATGTCCAATGTCAACATATTCGACCTCATCAAGGAAGAACAGTGGGTTGTTGAGGGTTCAGAACGGTGTTGATATTCAGAGGCATCTGAACTGGAGACTAATAGAAATGTTCCTCATCACTGCAGTCTAAAAATAGGTACAAGGACCAGAACTTTGCTTAGAACGAACCACAGGAACACTGTCATAAAACAAGTG